CTCACCTACGGCGGAGAAAGTTGGACTTTGTTGGACAAACATTATAGTCGCATAACAGCAGCGGAAATGCGATTCCTACGTAGATCGGTGGGCAAAACTAGGAGGGATCGCATTAGAAATGAAACTATCAGAGAACAGCTGGAAGTGCCTGAACTCAAAACTACCTTGGAGAACAGGCAATTAAGGTGGTATGGACATGTCTGCCGCATGAACGAGGATAGGGACCCTATAAAGATATTAGAGGCTCGACCCACAGGGAAGAGCCCACGAGGGCGTCCCAGAGTCTTATATCAGGAGTTCATGGAGAGGATCGGAGGTAGAAGAGGCAAATTCTTCAACCAAATGAAGGATTTTTTTTATCCAATACTTGATGCAAGTTCTATTCCAAATATATTCCCCCACTTTTGCTTACTTCTTCCTTTTGCAACGTTAAATTGAAAACTTTGCTAATTAGAATTATTAACATCCTCGTATTTTTTGGAACATTATATGACTTCAATGGAAGTCTTGGGCGGACGAGAGAAAAAAAAAATTCTCATTTTTTGCTTTCTTAAATTATAAATTGAACATGGTTAAAGTATGTTGTTGTAGATTTAATATAACAAGATAGTAAAATAAAAGATAAAAATTTAAACATATGTATGTATTTATATTTATAAATCTTCTAATATGGCTCAAAATGTCTAACAATGTGCAATTTTTGGGTCCTTAGTTCATTTTTGCAGTTTGGCCACTAAACACTGAAACACACTGTATAACAATAATTACTTTGTAAAAATAAGATAGATACTAAGTCCTTTTGGATTATCAGTAAAAATCCTGAAGTGATTTCCTGGCATCACATAGTGTCATCCTTTGTGTGGAAAATTAAAGATAATGGCTGCTGAAGAGTTGAAAACTGCCGAATTAGAAAGAGTTCAGTGGAGAAATTTGTTTAAAACTTTAGCTACTTCAGTAGAAAAGAAAATAGCTGAAAATGATCCCGAGTTGGAAAATGAATTTAGAAAATTAGAAGGAAGAGCTAAACACCTATTAGAGTTTGAAAAAGAGGTAAGAGCTTTAATACTAGTAGATGAAAAAGAACTGGAGGATGAATTCGATGCATCTATAAGTTATCAGGATAAGTGGATAGAAATAAAAAGTAAATTTGATGATTTAATTGAGCATTCAAATAAAACTTGGCATGATGATGATATTTCAGCAACTATCAGTCCTTCAAGTGAGAAATTACAGCAAAAAAAGGAAGAAATACTTTCATATAAATTTTTGGGGGATGTTGAAATAAAAGTTGAGCACGATGTCAAGCTTGAAAGTTTAACAGGTAAATTTTATGGTGAAGCGAAGTTGGAAAACATAAATTTTGCAGTGATATCCCTAGATCAAATGATGAATGCTTAAAGATAGAACCAATAATTGAATATTTGATAGCCACAGAAACTAGGCTAGGTTGGATAGTTATTTACCAAACTAAAACACAGACCTGTTCTATGCCAAGAACACCTACGAGAGGGAGTCCTTTACAGCGCTTTGACTCTAGTGCAAGTAAGTCTCATCATTCAGGGCAAGCTGGCATATTTTCGACCCATTACAATAGTTTACAAAGGAGTTGTCTAGATGCTGGCACTAGCGAGAAGACCGGATCAGTTCCAGTTAAAACAATAATTCCACGCATTGTATTACCCCCTGCAGTAGAAACATCTGTAACGCCTGCAGCTCAAAACAGTCTTCTCAGGAGCATCACAAGATATAATATCAGATCTATCGTCAGCCAAAGATCCTCATTAGGACTAGATCTTAGTCAGAAAAGTACAAGGAGAGGAGTACAAGTAACAACTGCTATTACGAATAATTCTTCATTGTCCTCTAAAGAAGTTTTCCAAAACAGGAAGAGAAGAAAAAAAAAAAGCTAAGAACACTATTGTATCTCGGAATGTTAGTAATCAATGATCTTATCAAGACTAAAAAAGGAAGCATAAAACATTTGTTGAAGTTGTTTATTAAGTGTTATTAAATTAATGATTTAGCCTGTAAATTTTTGTAAAGCATATTTTGAATTTTGTTTTGTTATTTTAAATTAGTTTATAATTTAAAGCATAAATTGTAAAGGTGGGAGTGTCTAGAGTTAATGCATGTCATCAGGCAGCACTGTAGCTTGTAAACAAAGGCTAGTTGGCTTGGGTGAGGTTACCCAGACGGAATAGTCCTTTGTCTCTGATAGTGTGATGTCTATGCAGAGTAATAAAGGTGTGCTGTGTATTTGTGTTATAAATGTTTTTCAATATAGCCTCATTTGTTTCCTGAAGTGATTTCCTGACATCGCAATTATTATTTATGAGGTGAAGACTTGTTTGTGTGCACAAGCCCACACTTTTCTTTTTCTTCATTCTTCCATCTGAAGCCGGTCGTTGAAGCAGCTGCAGCTTGTCTTAACTTCCTTCTCTTCTTCTCAGATTAAAATATGTAGGGCCTACCGCATCTTCCCACCCGTATACGAATTCTCTATAATGTGGGTAATTCTCTATGCTCATTAGCTGGTGGAACATGCTCTCTGTCAGTGTATATATCCCCGTCTCTCTCAGGAGCTTAGCTCTTAGTGTCTCATAGGCAGTACATTCGACGACCATATGTTCGGCGGTCTCCGGAACGTTGCAGTTGGGGCATAGCGGATCAATATTCTTCCCCTGTTTAACGAGCTTCGCTCGGAAGCCCCCGTGTCCCGTGAGGAGTTCAGCCACCTAGTAATCCAGGAGGACCCATCTTGCATCTAATCGAGACTTCGCCGTGGGGAAGTACTTTCATAGGATAGATCCCTTCGGAGTTGCCATCCATCGCCGGTTCCATTGATCAACTATGTCCTCCCTGATAATTCTTTTCCTTCTTCTTGGGTCTCCTTCAATTCTCCTCTTTAGATGTTCCGGTAGATCCGCCGAACCTTCTCTTTTCATTTTAAAGAGGTACTAGTCTTCTCGCAGGAAGAGATTGAGAGGTGTCCCCCCTACCAGTACTTGCACTGCCTCATAAGGCTCTAGTAACCCGAAGTAAAGCCAATCTCTGAATCGATGCTAGCTTCTCTTCTGTCGGTGCGAGAGGTTTAGGTTCCAGGCTGGGGACGCATAGCTCAGAATACCCAAAACTAGTCCTTTTTATATAGTCATTGTAGCTGGGTATCTGAGACCCCATATGACGCCTCCGACACGACTGAGTCCATTTAGGGCCACTGTGACTCTTGTTCTCATATAGTCCAGGTGAGGAGTCACGTTGAACTTTCGACTATGTCACCCCATTTATTTTATTTTTCTTGTCTACACTTACGTTTAGTATCTTATAAATTCCACTACTTTTCGATATTAATTCATTTTTCATATCTTATGTTGCCTTATTTTGATTATGTTTATTTCATTAATCCCTGCTTTGTTGCCATTATTATTTATTTCTTAGTTCTTTGTTACTGTTATTATTCTACCTACTTTATTTATGTTCACTCTATCTACTGTATTTTACTTTTAGTTTATTATTACTACATTTTTTAGTCAATACCTTTCACCTTTCTAATTTTAAATATTTATTGTTCAATGTTTACAGTTTCTCATACATATTGTTATCTGGTTTATTCTTAGTCCTGATGAAGGCCTGAACTTTGGGCCAAAACGTCGGCAAAAATAAAAATAAATATAATTATTTATTTTTACTATTTTTTTTTTTTACTGATCGTTACAACCATTCTCCTCTTCAATTATTCACTACAGTCAACCATCAACCCACAATTATGAAAGAAGAGTTTGTTATTATTAAATTTATTTAAAGAGGACTTTTGATTGAATAAACTAAGATATTTTGTGATATAAAAAAAAAATCACGAATTATTCGCGATTTTCGTTTATCACCATCCAACTATACTACAGACACTAAAGTGATCTAAAGTGATAATAAGAATCAGCTTTTTTTTTTTTAATAACATCTCTATTATAGAAATTGATCCATATTTATAAGTGACCGCTTATTTCATTATCAACCCTCAAATCATTTAATATTGACTTAAAACTTACTAAACAAGAAAGTTTTTCTAAAAGTGGGGTGTCAGTAGTATAATTGGAGGGGGGAAATAAAAATCGCAAGTAATTCATGATTTTTTAAAAACAGAACTTAGCTTCGTTTATCAAAAGTCCTCGTTATATGGTTTTAACAATGACAAACTCCACTTTCGTTTGAAGTAAATTTTGTCTAATTTACAGTGAATCAATTTTTATAATCAATTATATTAAATTATGTTATAGTTATTACTTTCTATTCATCAAAAAACATGATTAATTTAAAAAGCACAAAACTTTCCTACTATTCTGCTGAAAATCGGAACATTGCTCATATGAACTTTTTTTGATAGCTCTTGAAATGTACTATTACTTGTTTAATTATTTCCCTCAACTTACTGGACAGCCCCCATATCAACATATTCTAGGATTTTAAGGTCACCCCTTAACTTTCAGGTGATATTTACATTTTTCACGGCGAACTAATCGGACTGTGAAAAACCTTATATTTGAGGTTGTACATGTTAATAAATCAAAAATACTTTTTCCTTTTTTACATCATTCAGGTTTAGCTCAAAAAGTTATGGAAATTTAGCAATGTTATGAAGGCTGTTTCTCCTCCCCTCTGTGTTTAACCTAAAAAAATATGTTATATATTCAATTTTTTTTATTTTTTTTTATGTTTTCTAGTATGTATAATAAAAAACACAAAAAAATCCTCACAATCATACAAACATTTAAATAAATGAATTTTAAATATGCAATATTATATTTGTTCGTTTTATAATAGTTAAGTTGAAGTTTTATACATAATAAAACTACCGCCATTTTTAAAAATAAGTGATTAAAAATATTTAATGGGCTGAAGGTAGATTTTCAATTTTGCTATTTATTCTTATTAAATGGCTTTACGTTTATCCGACTTTCCTGAATCCTGCATCTTTCTTCTTCTATGGCTTATATTTGTAACCTTGTTTAGATTACTAAAATGTTTTCTGTGATATTAAGGCATTTTAGGACTAAAAGCCTTTATAAATATGTAAGTAAATGTAAAAATTTTCATACATATACATTTTTTTTGTCGTGATTCGACCATTTTCGAGTTATTTTTGAGGATTGTTCTCCTCATATCTAAATTTAGAATATGAATAGAATAGAAGAACAGAATATGAACTGTTTGCTTGAGAGTATTTATGAAATATGTTTATGTATTGCATTGTAGTATATTTAAAATTTAACATTTCCCATTGATCTACATTCATAGTAGATCCATTGGTTGCAAATCTAGGATTGTATGTTATTAAAGCAACTGAAATGTTTATTCAGGGTAACAGAATTGCTTTACCTGTGAGAAACAATTTATCAAGTGATACTAGAGAGTCAGCTGGCATTTTTGTTCCATCATATTTACCTAAACCTGGTGAAACTGATGGCGAAAGAAGAGCTAGGTAATATCATTTCTTTATAGTATTTTTTAATTTATAATTTCGACAGGCCTATTTAAAATAATCATGTCATTTATTGGTATCTTCTATCGAGTAACAAAGATTCCTATTAGTTTATTAATTCTCGTTAGGTTACTTTAAACTAAGTTTAAGTAATTTTTTAGTCTTTGTGCTTTACATTTAATGTAGTATTTATTTTCAATGAGTATGAAAGTTTTTTTGAAGAACATTACGGTAACTAACTTTAGGTTTGAGTTCGTAATTGTTACAATGTTAATTTAATCTTTTTATGGGGAGTATAATATTCTTTTCTATTTGCAGCTGTTTTGCTTGTTCATTTTAATTTTGTACTGTAGAATAATGTGATATAACTGTGATTTTATTCTATGAATATTTGTGGTTGCAGCCTCCATACTAACATTCTTAGTCACTTGGCATCTGACAAACCAATGCTCTTTAATGGATCAGATTAAATTACTGGGATCTTAAAATTTAATGACTTTTCATGACATGCTATTGGTTTGTAATGAAACATACTCATCAGCATAGGCGCTGACTTTCGATTTTGATTGGGGGAGGGAGCGATGGACCAAAAAAAAAAAATGGTGATAGTTTTTATTATGTGTAAAAATTCATATATGTAATATTATAATATAAATTATAATATTAATGTTTAAAACTAATTTGTTTATATCTTTCTATAGTTGTAAGGATTTTTATTTATTTATTTTGTTTTACTTATTATATATAATTGAAAATATCTATTTAAAAAATACAATTGAATATATAACGTATTTGTTTAGAATAAACATGGAGAAATTTTCAGAATTCAGACTTGTTATATTAAAGTTATGTATAAGAAAATTAAAAAAAAAAAATAATTCTGCAATGATTCATTTGGGTACAGAATTAAGACCGACCCAAGTGCTGGTAGAGATGGTCATCAACTTCGTCATATTCCTGGATCGTATTTTTGTGTTGATCTGATTTCAGATACTTTTTTTTTAGTAAAATTAGACACATCAATTATTATAGAAAACTTGCTGCTCATCCAATAAAGCAAACCAATTTTCTTTTTAAATTGTTTAAGCAAATATTATTATGCTGCCACTAAATTCAAAGTATGGCCAGCTTATTAGATCAAGTTGAGTTTGGATTGGAAAAGCTATCTCACCAATATACTATCAGTTCCATCATGATTCTTAAAGATGTTTTTTTATTTTTCAGGTTGCTATACCAATCTCGTAAGCGTGGAATGTTGGAAAATGATCTTTTACTTAGCACTTTTGTTGACAAATATCTGACAGAAATGAATGATAAACTTCTCATGCAGTATGATAAATTGATTAATTGTTCTTATAGTGATTGGGATATTTATTACTGGCTTGTTGGAGCCCGCCCTATACCACCAGAATATGATAATGAAATTATGCAACTTCTTATTCAACATGTTGAAAATAAAAAGAAAGAACGACGATTAAGACAGCCAGATCTCCCAAATTATGTTTTCAAGAAATAAGTATTGCTTTATAAATTAGAAGATTGGTATTTACATTAATTATCTGCAGTTCGTATTTTTATAATTTCTGTTACTTTGGTTCTTTTAAAGTCAAACCTTTGATAATTAGTTGTCAATTAAATCATATGAATCTTGTTATTGTATAAATGTATAATAGATGAATGGAATATGTTAACATCATTTTACTCAGCTTGGCTGCTTCACTATTTATTGTTATAATTATTTTTATTACGTAATTATTTTTTTATTATAGTTTATTTAAAACAGAGTAGTTTGCATTCTATGTAGTAAATTGTTAAAGATTCTAACTAAAACAAATAAAGTATTATATAAAATGTTGGACTGTTAAAACTATTTTCTAAATATATATATATGTATATAAATTGTATCAGTAACTGTTTGTTCTCTTCTTATTTTTCTTCATAAGAGAATGTAAGATTCTGCTTAACTGTAAAGATAAAACCTAACTTTCCTGATGTTAATTAAGATCCCAATTCTTTCTTTCATTTACCTATATAGTAAGGTTTAGTAGTAAAGAGAAACACTTTTTTTCATAAAAGGTTGCTGCCCAATTATATTGGGATGCTACACACACAGCATACTTGTCTTTTAATACAATGGACAATCCTTAAAACTAATATACAATTATACAGTATCATCAATATATATGAGTATAGTAAACATTTTTTTTTTTATTATACGGCTCTATGACCCACACGCTGAGTCTTGGCCTGCTCTAGCATTGAACGCATTTTTTTGAGTTTCGATAGATAATGCATCAGTAGCCACAGTCTTCCCATCGGAGCCTAGGGTGTCCAACCTTCCGTGCTTCAAATAGCTTCTCCAATTGAACTTTAGATGGAGTTTCATCCGGGTTCATCCTAGCGACATAGTCTGCCCATCACAATTGCTTAATGCTGCCCATTAACACAGGCAGCCCCATAAATTCTCAGGATATTTCTTTCAAAACTGGACAGTTCCAGTTCCTGGGTCCTTATAAATGTCCAAGTTTTGGCTCCATAAGTTAAGACAGGTCGAATCAGAGTTTTATATATCCTTCCTTACCTTTGAGAATTTTGACAAGGTTCTAGACCAGAATCGATTTTGAAGCGTGAAGGAACACCGGTTAGCAGCGATAATATGTCTGTCCATCTCTTCCCTAATGTCATTCCGGGTATTCGTTTAGGAGTCTAAGTAAACAAATTCTCATATCACTTCATTTTTTTTCTTTGTTTTTTACAATTTATTTGTTTTTTTTAACATTTGATTTCTCTTCTTTCTCTCTTTCTTATCTCCCCTTACAAATTTCTCTTCTTTTACCTCATATTTTTCTCTCTCCCTATCCTAATTCATACTTTTTGATGACAAAAAAAGTGCACATATAATAAAAAACTATATAAAATTATTATATACAAATACAGTAAACGTGTTCAATAAATAATATAAAAATTTTGTAAATATCCCATATCCCTGCCCATGCACATGGTGGTGGATTATTCTCAGGAAGTCCAGGATTATGTTTTGCCAATCTTGCCCTAGGCCCCTCATGAAGCTGTTTTCGTTAAGGAAAGGAAAGCATTGGCGATTCCTTTTTTTCCCTTTCCACCTTTCCTGCCATATCGAGGCCATTGGTTTCGTATCTCACGGTAGGATCCAGAATGATCGCTGATTTTCCTGCCTTATGGACGGCTACTATGTTGGCATGTCGTCGCTTCCTTGAAACAGGCGTAATCTCTCTCTTTCCAAGAAGCTTGATCAATTATGTTTTACTTGGCATGTTACAAGAGGGGAGTGGTTGGGGTATTTTTCCAGCACATGTGCAGGTGTTTCAGGCTCTCTTTTATATTTGCGACAGAGGGATCCAACTTCTCTTACCTGTCCGCCGACACTTGGGACTCCTCGCAAAGGTGCATAATTGATATTAAGTTTCAGGGAATTTGACCATTCAAACCCAGAAAATACTTGCTTTTCATACATGTATTTATTTGCTTTCGGGGTCACTTTAAAACGGCGAACTCCAATGCTCTGCCACCAGCAATGGCCCATTCCTCGAACGAATCTTTTCGTAGCGACTGCCGTAGAGTTCTCATATTTCGATGTCACTGATAAACCTCCGATCTCTCGACACATTAGGCAAATTCAGCGGAATAGGCGAATGTTGATTGGAAAAGGGCATCGGGTACATTGGACAGTAGCTGAACAATATTGTAGAGGAGCTTCCGGCACTTTTTATCTAAGCGGCCGTTTTGAAACCTCACTTCTTATCTATCTTATCTAACATCATGTCACATAACCTCCCTCTTCTTATCCCGCCAAACTTTTGAGTTATTGCATTGTTTAGTTTTCAGTTATTCCCTTATTACGTTCACTTATTAAATTGTTTACTTTTGGCCCGTTTGTGTTTATTTTTAGTTTTTGGCCAGTTGGTGTTTATTTTAATTGTTTTTTTTTAGTTTGTGACCCCTTGGTGTTTATTTTTCATTTTTTTTTTCGTTTATTTTCGTCATATTATAGATCTTAGAATATGGGATTTACTGTCTTCAGAAGAACAGGCAATTCAGTATTCAGCAAACTATGACCATTTCCAAGTGAATCACCGGTATAATTTTGTCAATCCATCAACTGGGGTTCATACTCAACACATAGAACGATTGTGGGGCTCAGCTAAGTGGAGAAATAAAGTAAATAGAGGAACTGCCAGACAACACCTCGATTAATATTTGTTCGAATTTTTGAGGCGGCGGGTTCACAGAGAAGAGGACCCGTTCCTCGCTATTTTAAGTTGCATAAAACAATTTTGGCTTCCAAAATAAATAAGACAAAAGGAAGTGAATAATTAACTTAAAATAATTTGTACATACGTTGTTTATAGTGTTGATATTTTTTCTTTTCTATGTAAATATGTTCTTTTAAATTTGTTTTTTTTAATTTCATTTTGATGTTTTACATGTACATATCTTCTTAAAGTGTTTTTTTATTATTTCATTAATATATTTGTCGTCAAATAAAAGTATTTTTGTTGTTATTACATTTGTTTTTTGTATCTGTTTACATTTTCAATAACAGGAATTTAATACAATAATACGAAGATGTGAAGAAGGAGAAGGCTTATCACTGCGTTATGGGAGTTATCAGTGTTCAGGTTATAAACATTGGCAGATAGCAGTCAGTAGCGGCCGCTTAGACTAAAAGTACCGAGCTTCCTATTGGCAGCGGATTAATCCCAATCTTCGGTACCTCCTGGGAGCGTATAACATCGCCGTGAGGATGTTCCCAGGAAGTCGATGACATCTATTATAATAGGATGCAGCTTTGTGAGGAGCGCAGTTTGAAAACGGTAAGTAAGAGCCGGAAACAGATGCTGTTTGACAATGTTTAGTTTATACCCCGATTTAAGTAAGCATGAGGTTACCAGCTTATTAACATTTTCATTCAATTTCTTCACCGAATCGTCGTTGAACTTTAGCTCTCACGAGAAATTACATCCTAAATACTTAATCGTACTTCCATTTTTCATTGTTTGTATGTACTCTCCATTCTCAAGGGAGGCCATCGCTGTTTCCAGATCTCCTTTATTCAGAACGATGCCCACGCTTTTCTGAAGATTAATAGCCAAACCAATTTCTTCAAATGTCTTCTGTACGCTGCCGATTCTACAGTACCCTTGTCACGCGCCAACACGGCCTGATCAACCGCAAACCTGTGAGGACCACACAATGTAGATAACTTTTAGTTTATATCCAATTTCTTTTGAAAATTCTTCTCGCACAGTTCGCGGTAGTGATGGTCGATGGCTTGGTTGATGACCGAAGACGACGAGGAGTCGCCTTGGTGTACTCCGCGCAGCACTTTAATTTGGCTTAGATTCTCATACACATTTTTAGTCGTTCCAGCATAGTCCGAATGTAGCTTAACAGGAGAGTGATTGTCCGGTTGTTAAATTCTATATGACGAACCAGGCTCTATTAAAATAGGGTCACTTAATTCATTTCTATTTTCCAAATTTTTTTCAATGGGTAGCAATACTTCATCAATCGTATCAAACTGTATCCTTTTGGAATTGTCACTAATTCGACCTTTCTTCACTTCCATATTTCATTTATGAAAGAAAAATAAATTAATTTTAAAAAAAGAGAAAAAGAAAAGCTCAAGGAGATAAAGATTAATATTATGTATGAGTCAAAATGTAAAAATACGTGATAATAATGGAAATTCTATGCTTCTAGAAAGATTCTGACATGACACTGATAACTTTGAAAACACAAAAATTAAAAAATAAAATAAATAAATAAAAATTGATAATAGAGTTGATTCAAAATGTAAAAATAATAATAATTCTGGATCACTCAATAGAATCAAAACTAATAATAATACATTTCAGGATCATTGTAAGGCTGAAAGCCAAAACATGAAGTAATGTAAAATCAAATAGTTTTACATGAGATGATGTAAAAACTGAGTCTTTCAGTTCAGTTCAGGGCAGAGTATCGATGGTGTTTTTGAAGAGACCTTCTTTTTAAATATTGTGAATCGGTCTCACTTATTTCGGAAAATGGGGTCTCTTCCTCCAATTCTTCACCAGCGGTATTGTCAGGTTCCATGATGAGAAAAAAAAAATAATAAAAGCCTATAACTGTTATAACACTGACTTGGTACTAATAGTTAAATTAAAAAAAAAAATTGATTTAGCCAATGTCGCGGGTTTTCCCTTACTCGTCCCACTGTGCGGCTGAATATCGAGAAGGGTATTTCATAGACTATATAAACGTTATTTATCTATATCAAGGAATTGATCAAAACCATTTTTAAATGCAATTGTAACCAACACCAAACTGGTTGAACCTAAATTAATCCAGTTAAAAAGAAAGGTAATTAACTGAATTATCAAAAGCCATCTTAAGCAATAACGCACGCAGCTACGATATTTCGGTCATTTTTTTACTCTGGCACATCCATCGAATTTAAAAAGAACATGAAGTACTATTTAAAAATGTCAATTTCTTTTTAAAATCGCCAGGCAGATCCTGTTATCCGGCGTTCTGATGGTATCGTTTTTGTAAACAAACATCTAAGGGCGTCGCATGTCTGTAAGACAGCACTTCGTTATACGTACTATTTAGAACTAGTGCATTAACTTCCATTTCTGGATTAACTTTGAAATTTAAGGGTGCCGCTTCTCTGCAAGGGCGGGAGATAATACTATGTTGTATTTAAAGATCTATAGAACCATCTCATCGCCCACAGTCGCACCCACTCGCCCACCAGGGCACCGATTACACCATTTTTCTAATTATTATTTTTTACATGATTTATAATTCACTGTAAATATTTATATATTTTATGTTTCTGAAATGGCCTAGAGGTTTACTGATCCAGCTAAAAATTACAGATATAAGAAAAAAAACTTTAGATGTCCATATTTGCCATAAGTTATGGGATAATATCCCTCAGTTGTATTACCTGCTGATCGCATTGGTTCCGTGGTTGGCCCTCCGGAATAAATGACCTCCTGTTTCAATCGCTCCTCAGTTCAACTACTTTTACCTCACCTGGAAACGTATTGTTTGTGGTCTTCTAATTCTAACTTCCAGAAACCTACTTCAACAGAAGAAGATTGGAAAAATATGAGGTTAAGTACCCAGGCGTAGGGATAAATTTGGTATTTTTTAGGAAGGGGAGAAGAGAAGGGAGCGCTCAAGAAAACGGTAACATTGGCGCCCAGCCAACATTAGCTGTGCCAGTGCCCTTGGTTGTATTTAAACAAAATATAAATGTCTTTAAAAGTATTTAACAGTAAAAATAGTTGATATTTATTCCTGGCTTCGTATCATGACTTGAGTGCTTAAATTTGACAAATTTAAGGATTAAATAATTTAATTATTGTAATACAGTTGCAAAAGTGAATTTTTATTTTTACTTCCACAGTTATAAAGTGGTTCTAAATAATAACTATCAGGAAATTGAAGTAAGTACAGTAAGGTTTCAACATAAATTTTAAAAATTCATAATTGAAAGTAAAATTTCTATGTGTCACAGAAGGAGCATTAAACATTTGGATATTGATGCTCGTATGGCAATGCTTCGTTAAATTTATCTATTTTAATATTGGCGCTTCGATTAAATTTCTTAATGAATTCATTTTTTATAATATTTTCTATTATAAAAATTATTATTGATGATAATATTCCAAACAGAAAGATGCCTAATCCAATGAATGTTGATTCTATGCTGACTGGAATAAATGAGGTGTCCACCAGACATTTTGGGGCATCTGTGTACCAATGTTTCTTTTCACGATGTACTATTCCTCTCTCCATTAGTATTACTTGTCTGTAAGCATAAATTAAGATACAATGAGCAGAAAAAAATGTTAGATTAAAGAATAACATTGCCAGGTCAAACAATAAAAATATTATAAATGATAAAATTAGTTAGCTGTATATAGTTTTATAAAGGGGTGCCCATTTTCCAAAAGGTCAATGGCGCATAAATTTCTCCCTTCTCTTTCCATTAAATTTTATTGCTGTCCTTTTCTTAAAAACAGTGCAAGTAAAAGGAGAATTAGAAGAAAGGAAGATCATATCCTATTACACTTGCTGTGGTCTCGTCCGTGTTTTTCTCTTGTCCCCTGGTGAAAACATCTCCTTCAGAAAATACAACCCTGCAGAAATGTGACCCCTTCAAAGATTTTAATGGTGCATGAAACCTCCTTCTGAGCACCACTGGTTTTATATACCATGTATAGCATTGTATAGGAAGAACACACATCCTCTCAGGCAATCGTAAATATTGTTTTGAAGTAGTAAACTTCATTTAAGAATTGAATATTTCTAGATTGTCGTTAACCATCTTGAATAACATCAATAACAAAAATAATGAGTAAATCAACCTATATCACAACCATAGGAGCAGATTTCAGGAGGAAGGGAGAGGGGTGGCGAGTCTGTACCTATGATCACAACCTATAAGAGATCTTGGATCGAGTACTTGGTAAGAACTTATATTTCTAGGCCAAATATATAAGGTGGTGGTCTGGTCTGCGTCATACATATCACTTTAATTTATTGTTGTATATATATATATATATATATATATATATATATATATATATATATATATATATATATATATATACTGTAAAGTTTGTTGTTATTAATTTGTAAATGCTCTTAATCTAAAATCACTGAACTCTCACTAAATTCAACTCAAGATCGATAAATTCTGAGACTAATAAAGAAATAATGTACTAATGTACCATTTTCTCTCTAGGATGTCTTAGTATTTATCACCCATATGCGCACTATCCGTTTTGGTTGGGGGGGGGGGCACATAAATGAATTATAAAATGCTAGGGTATGTTGCTATGTATAATTATCTTCTCTTCTTCTCTCACTATCTCCTGTGTGCTGCTAAGCGTGGAGTAGCTGCCTCTGACCATCTTGTCCAACGGTCCCTGTCCTGTGCAAGCCTTCTCATCTCCGGCATGGTGCTTCCTCTCGCTGTGCCAATTCTCTCTATCAAGTCTGCATACATAAGCCTTGGCCTGCCTTGAGGTCGCCTTTCTCCCGGTCTTGCTTCTAGAAGCCACCTGGCCTTACGGTCATCTCCCATTCTATTAACATGCCCGTACCACTTCAACTGCCTTTCTTCAATCGTCTTTAGGACGGATCTAACTCCTAGTTCATCTCGCACCCTTTCATTCCTTATTCGATTTCGCCTGGTTTTCCCAATATTTTCCGTAGGAATCTCATTTCTGCAGAGACAATCTTGCTGGCATGGCGGTCCAAGAGTGTCCAGCTCTCCGATCCGTATAGCAGCACTGGGAGAAAAACTGATTTGAATAGCAGAATCTTCGCTTTTCTGCTCAACTCCTGCTTTCCAATGAGTGTCATGGATATTTGGTAGTATATTCCATTGGCCTTTTGGACTCTATTCATGACCTCCTGGTCTATTCTTCGATCCCAGCCAATCATTGTTCCCAGATAGCAGTGGGTATCGGTTTGCTCAAGGGTCTCTCCATTGCAAGTGATTATAAGATCCTCGTTCCTTCGCCCAACACACATGACACTGCTTTTGGAGGGATTGATCTGCATGCTTCTGAGTTGCAGTTCTTCTTGCCACTCATTCACAGCGACCCGGAGCGATTCAGCAGTATCCGCAACCAGTACCACATCATCTGCGTACAAGAATGCCTGTGTCAACACTGGGGTCATATTCCAGTATCCCGCTATTGCTCTGGGTGTCCTCCTTTTACAAAATTTCCAAATGGCATCCATGAAAATTATGAACAGTAGGGGGCTCAGGCTATCGCCCTGTTTAACTCCCCTAAACAAATGGAATGACCTAGACTCAGTGCCAGCTTGCCTTATTACTCCCGTAGGATATTGGTACACTGACTTAATTGCACTAATAAGATTTGGTGGGATTCTCCTATCTTGCAATGCATCTCATATTTTCTGTCTAGGAACATTGTCGAAAGCCGCCCGAAAATGTAGAAAAGCTATGTATACTGCTTTACCTCTATCCCATGCCTTCTCTACAATCATTCTCAGAGAGAATATATGATCTTGTGTCTGCCTGCCGGGTCTAAAACTTGCCTGTTCCTCTTCCAGATCTTTTCCCACCCAGTTCCTTAATCTTTGTTCCAGGACTCTAGTGTATACTTTGTATACCACCGATGACAGACATATGGGTCGGTAATTATCGCATACACTTTGGCCTCCCTTCTTATGGATTGGGATAATGATGTTGTTTTCCCATTCTATGGGTATCCTTTTGAGATCCTAAACCTTTTGGAATAGTGTTTGGAGACACTTGACCAACTCATTTCCTCCATATTTTATAAATTCGGGTGCAATCCAATCTGGCCCAGCTGCTTTTCCCATCTTTACTTTAGCAATGCTCCAATATGTCCCTATCTTCTGTCACCAGTATATATTTATAATTATCTTTGAATATAAAATAAAATTTCAATACAGGAACAAAGGATCTTTTAAAACACTTGCGTACCTAATTAATTCTCGGCCTTAGTTTAGCGATCTAGTCTACTTTTGCTATTTTCTTAATTGATTTTAGTTTACACATTTCATTCATTCATGTAGATTAATTGTTATTGGTTTTGATTTTTTTTCTGCCTCGAAATATTGGGGGGAGGAACTATATTCTCGTCCCCTCTCCATTTTTATTGCGGGGGAGAGGGCGATTGCATTCCTCGCCCGAAATCTGTGCCTATGTTATCACTTACCATACAATATATGTACAATACGAAATACAATTTAAGTGCCTGGTCATATAGGGTGTTTCAGGGTTAATTGGCCGAACTGCAAAAATGAACTAAGGACCTCAAAACAAGAAAAAAAAAATCTCTGAAGGTATGTCCGCAAACGCTTTGTTTAGGAGATATTCACACCTAAAGATTTTCGTTGTTATGAATTATTTACGTTATATGAAATAAATAAAACCTATTTATTTGGTCTAATTATTTTGTTAATTAAATTTTCATATTAAATGTTGTTCAAAGTGATTTCCTTGAGCGTTAAGACAGGCTCGGCATCTTTCTTCAACAGCAGCAGTAGCAGAACGGCACTGAATATGTGTTATTGTTTCACAAGATTCAATTATCCTTCTTTGTAAGGAATTAGGGTTTTTGACCAGACTTGCTCAATCATATCCCATATCCCAATCAATGGATTAACCGTGCAGGACCAGTGGCTTGGCCTGCGCGCTCTCCAGACATGACATCGCCGGATTTTTTTGTTTGGGGTGACATTAAATAAAAAGTCTATGCAAGTCCGTTAATTACTTCTTAATTCCTTACAAAGAAGGATAATTGAATCTCGTGAAACAATAATACATATCCAGTGCCCTTCTGCCACTGCTGCTTTTGAAGAAAGATGCCGAGCTTGTCTTAATGCTCAAGGAAATCACTTTGAATAACATTTAATATGAATGATAATGTTTACATTTAATTACATTTTAAGTAGTTAGAACAAATAAATAGGTTTTATTTATTTTATATAACGTAAATAATTCACAACAACGAAAATCTTTAGATGAGAATATCTCTTAAACAAAGCATTTACGGACAAACCTTCAGATAAAATGTTTTTCTTGTTTTTAGGTAATTAGTTCATTTTTGCAGTTTGGTCACTTAACATGGAGAGATGAACCTCTTTAAATGACGTGTTTAAAGCGTCTGTCTGGCAGCGGCGATCTGCAATACCTGTATGACTCGCTGCGAAAGACCATGTTCTTTGTGACTGCTATTGCAATATACAGTAATATAACATAACTAGATCGCTAACCCGCTACGGATATCGTAGATCGCCGAGACAAATCTTGTTCTGCTTGTAAGAACCTTAATTGTGTGAGGTAGTCAAGCTAGCGCATTGCTTTGATTTGCTTCTTCTTTTTCTTCCACCAATTTTCCTTTCAGCGTGACGGTGCCTCAAGCCATCGAAATTGTTCGTGTTCTATGATTTTCTCCTCTCTCAAATAAAAATTTTTGGAGCAAATGAATTAAAAATATTTAACACTTTGAATGCTAGTTTATGTTATCTAGATTAGTTATATCTGATTTGTGGGAATGTATAAAAATCCTCTGTAAAGATTCTAAGATGAAGTATAATTGAGATTAACACTGACGTTTGCGCTTATTTGAAATCAACAAATGAATGGTGGTGTTAATGCGAAATCCTCGCCCTCTTTCCAATACTGTGCCAAATATCAGTAATGGATTACTTTTTCGAAAACCAAATTGGTATGGTCCTATTTCTTTTTCTTTGAAGCATTATCCGTATACTAACAACTTTTTTTAACATCCTTTGCTATGATGTCCATAAAAACGTCGTGGAGAGCCAACATTATCCATCCAAAGTATATGAAGACCAAAACAATATTGATCTTAATGTTAGCAGTTTTAACCAAGCAATACTAGAGGCTGCTCATGAAACAATTCAATTTGCGTCAAAAATATCGACTCGCACAACAATCCCCTGGTGGAATAAAAATTGTCAAGAAAAAACGTTAAATTATTATTATCAGAAGAAACCAGAAAATTGTTAAATCTAAGAAACGTGCTCTCAATAAGTACAGAAAAAGAAGAACTCTACGCTATGCTATAGAGTTTAAAAGATTAAGAGCCATAGCAAATAGGACAATCAAAAAGAGTAAAAGGGCATCATGGAGGGATTTTGTTTCTTTAATAAACCATTATACTTCAACAAAGGAACTATGGAATAAAATTAGAAGCATAAGGGGAATTCCTAACCCGACAAAATTATCTGGTATAAGGATTGGCCAAAGAATAATTACTGCTACAGACGAAATTGCTGAAGAACTAGCAAAACATTTTCATCAGGTATCCTCCACTAACATTCGAGGACGGTCGAATTGGGAAGATGAACTAAACGAATTCCACGGAGATGAGAGTAACTATAATACTCAAAAGGGTCAGCAGTGGGCAGCGACGGCATATCCTATGAAATGATATATAACTTGCCTGAAAAAAGAAAACAGGCCCTGCTGCAATTGTATAACCAAGTTTGAGATCGCTGTTATCTCCCGCAGACTTGGAGACACTCACTAATTATACCAATACCGAAGAATGAAAAAAACTCTCTTGTATCAAACTTTCGTCCGATCTCACTCCTTTCATGTGTAAGTAAAATTCAAGAAAAGATAATAAACCAGAGACTTGTAGAAATAATAAAACAGAGAAAACTCCTCACGCCGAATCAATTTGGTTTTAGAGAACACCATTCCACTATGGACCCAATACAAATACTAAAATGGGACGCGGAAGAAGCTTTTCAAAGGAAACAACATCTCATTGCTATATTCTTGGATATTGAAAAAGCTTATGATACCATGTGGAGATGGCGAGTCTTGGACGTGCTAAGAAGATGGAATATTGAAGGGAAGATGTGGAAATATATTAAGGATTTTCTAAAGCATAGAACATTCACTGTTAGGGTTGATTCTTCAGAATCTACAATATACACGACGGAGAACGGTACTCCCCAAGGCTCCCCACTCAGTGCAACCCTTTTCCAGGTCGCCATAAACGACATAGCAGGGGTTTTTGTTAGACCAGCAAAACTTATTGTGTATGCAGACGACATATTGCTCTATGTACAAAGCAAATCTATTAAATTTATAGAATGGAAAATTCAAGAAGCCCTTGACAACATAGAAGCATGGTCGACAGAGTGTTTTCAAACTGTCACCTAACAAAACCAGAGCCATGCACTTTTGCAGGCTAAGAGGTTGTACATTCAATCCAAGAATAGAGATGAAAGGTGTCGGAATCACATTTGTTGATAATCTGAAATATCTAGGGATGAACTTGGATCGACCGCTTCGATGGACACTGCACATAAAAATACTTAAAGAAGAGTGTTTGAAAAGGATCCCCCTCCTCAAAAGTCTATCCCATACGAACTGGGGAGCGAATAGGGAAAGCCTCTTAAATATATATTGCACAACCATCAAAAGCAAACTAGATTATGGCTCAAGTGTTTACGGTACAGCATCAAAGAAAACTTAAATGATGTTATATGTTGTACACAATTGTGCTTTAAGAATTTGTACTGGAGCATTGGCAACCTCACCAGTAGAAAGCCTGTATGTTGAAGCAGATGAACCTCCTCTCTATCTGAGAAGGTTGTATCTAACCCTAAAGTACGGTCTCAAAATTAAGACACGCCCAAAACATACATTAAATAAAATACTGTTTCGGGAAGAATCAGACAACAGCTGGGGAAAGCATTTCGTAAAAACATTTCTTGAAAATGTCTCAGAGTCGAAGTTAGAATCTCTTTTGGACGTGCCGGACATTATTATCCCCCCTTGGATCCATACCTCGCCAGTTATAGAGAACTCGATGGATGGCTCTCGAAAAGATACGCTACTTCCTATCGAAGCACAAACCTTATTTCTGGAAATAATGGAAAAGCATAAAAAATGTAATATCATTTATACTGATGCTTCAAAAGTAAACAACGAAATAGGATGTGCTATTGTCAACTCTAAAATAGAAAAGTACTTCAAACTTCCGGAGATCTGCTCTGTATTTAGTGGAGAGATGATCGCTATTAGAGAAGCTTTGACTTACATTGATTCAACGGAGAGTAACAAATGGGTCGTAGTAACGGATTCAAAGAGCGCAATACTGGCCATTGAAAAGAGACCACCGACAACCACACTGGCGAGATCTATTAAAAATATCTGGTGAAAACTGAGGGAAAAAGGAAAGGAAATAATATTCATGTGGGTTCCTTCACACTGCGGAATTGTCGGAAACGAACAGGCAGACAAAGCAGAAAATATGGCGAGAAGGCTTGATAGAAATCCAACAGCTATAATTAAAGAAATCCCGATAGAAGATTTCATACATCATATAAAAAAAAAATTGCGGGTAATGTGGCAGAACGTATGGCAATAAAAAGAAACCAAATTAAAAGGAATAAAAAGCCACTGTTCCAAACAGAAAACTAGCAACCGACTCTCCAGAAAAGAAGAAACAGTCCTCTGCCGCTTAAGAATTGGGCATTGGAATTTTCACATGCCTACTTACTAAGAGGACTAGACCCACCGACCTGGGATAGCTGTAAGGTGCAAAGAACGGTCCAACACATCACCCAAGATTGCCCGGTATTTAAGAACGTAAGGAAAAATCTCGATATGGCTCAGAACCTAAAAGAAACCTCAGCGACAACGAAAACCCGTGGAAAAAACCTTATAATTTTTAAAAATAATAAAGTTCTACAATAGAATATAAATAGGAAGTGTTGCCAATGACGCTGCAGGGTAGAGGCAACAATAAAAACAAATAAATAAATAAATAATAATCCATCAATACTACACTAAAATTTGTAAAAGGTAATGCTCATTAGTTTGACCTATAAAAAATTAGGATAAACTCACCAACCTTGTTTTTGAAATGTAATGTTATTCTTTTTTTTTTTTTTTATGGCATTATCTCACTAGGCTTATAATGTACCTTCAATCACCCTCCTTTATACTTATTGCTACATAGATTCCTTTAGTCTCTTTATGTCCCTTGAACTACTTATTCAGCATCACCTGTTGACCTCGATATATTTTCATTTACTTTTCATTGTATCCCATAATTAAGAGAAATTATCTGTTTCACAATTTCTCAGTTCATTGTTCTCATGATTTGTTAGATTTGGTGGCTATTTTAATATACTCCCTATTAGTGTGTTATTTAATTGATTTGATCGTGGAATAACATTTTCTGCCCATTATGTAAAAATATAATGATCTAGAACAAATGGTCGATTTATTGTCATAAAAAAATGTCCAGTGAACTGCGCATGTCCAGAATAACTTCTCTTTCCGTCCCTCAAGCAGTTTTTGCTACTATTCTTGTGTGCTCAATTTCAAATCACCTGGAAATGCTATAGATAACTATTTTACAAATGTACAAGAAGTGTATATAAACTAACCCAAATATGATCATTTCCTTGTAGTGGCTGTGCTTTTTAATTGGAGTCGCGATCTGAATTTTAGAACCTGCTCGAATTTCTCTCCCGTTACATTTATCCGAATCGGTAAAAGAACGTTCCATTGCTTCACGCAATGTCTTTTCATCTCCAATGAGTGAAAACATTTTATCCTGTTGTACCTTTTTTATTCCCATTGGGATTTCATAACGTTTTTCACGAACTTCATTCAATTTTTGCACCACAAGAGGATGGAGGAAAAGCTGGAAATAGAAACATGTTTTTAACTGAAAATGAAATATATATATATATGAATTGGAATAACGTTAAAAAAATAAGTTAAACTATGAATCGCCTCTGATTACTTTCAAATTTAAACCTCACCAATTTTGAAGTTGACTTCCTATCATCGTTTTGCAACTTACAATTAGTTTATTATAAATGAATGAACTATTTCGCGAATAATTCATTTCGATACCATCTAAACACTTAAAAAATAAATAAATTTAACACACTGGAGTTAAGTATGAAATATTCGCTACGCCAATTCTTTTTTTAGCCACCACATCTTCAACAGTTTTTATCAAGTTTGGAGTAGGTGACAGTAACCCATTCATGATGGAAGTATGATAAAATATAGTAACTATCATACTGAAAAAGAGAAGAACGGTACATAAACCTTTTTTGTAACTTCCTGGAAATTCTTTTGTGAGACCTATAAATAAAAATATAAGTAAAATATTTATACATTTACAGATACTAATGGATTAAAGAATTCATTCATATAATATTAAATAGACTTACCTTGAGAGCACATCACACTTACAATGAGCATAGAACCATTGGCCAACGCAGTACGAACGGTGTTCAGTGATTGTGGCACCGAACTAACAACAATAGCTGCTACAATAATAATTAATAATCCAATCCAAACCTTTGATGAAAATGGTTGAATTAATGCTTTGTATCCTCCGAAGGCTTTCTCTTCTATGAATATAACCAAGAAGCTAAACCAATTACATTCTAATATTAGACTCTGGTACACCCGCTAAATTATATTCTTATATAATTTAACTGACATCTTAAACATTATATCAGAATATCTTAAACATTATGTTTTAAGAGAAAAAAGCAAACAAAAAAAAAAAAACATGAAGGGACTTGGTTAAGTACTGTTTCTGGGCTGTTTTGTGGAAGATGATTTGGTGATGATCACGATCAACTGCCTAGATTATCCCTAATAGTTAAAACCTGAGTGTGCCCAGGAGGATTCCCCGAGCCTAGGGTCCATTCTCAGCTGTTGAAACAGGATAAGCAATTATCTGCCACATCCGGACACAAACCCGGTCCCTTAAGAATAAGAGTAGAGTGCTTTACTAAGTTAGCCTGCTCTTCTAACCTATCTATATGCCAGGTCCAATATTTGCGTATTTGAATATAGTTATAACGTTCCACATTAATGTTCACTGGGAATAAGTTTAGTTATTAATATTAAATGTAATTTACCAGTCAGATATTATTATATAATACTACAGGTATTATTAAATGATTATTATAGGTATATTGTACTCAAAATTTATTTATTTAAACATTTTTTTTAATGGCAACTTTTCAGGAAATCAAATTCAGTTTGTAATATTGTAATCCATTTATAATGTGTATTCGTACTTCGTTTGTCCTTGAATGATGGTATACTATTTGTCTAATTTATTAAGACTGTAAATGTGAGATGTGCTGTCTCTTATTTGAATTTATGTATATTTTTACTAATGATGACTTATAGGTTTTTGAAATTCATTGTTTTTTAATCTTTCTATTATGTCTGATAGTAATTCTTATCTTCTTTTTTTTCCAATTTTTTTGTTCTCATAAATAAATTCAACAATCGTCATAATTTAGTGTAAGGAAAAAAATGTTGATTTACAGTTACTGATATAATTGATAAATTAAAACTCAATTTTTCAAACTCATTGACGGACATATTTAAATTCATGTTTCAGCGATAAAGAAATAATATTTCGAGCTACTTCTTATAGATTTATTGTATTAAAATTTACATCTTTATTTCAGCTTGGTAAAATTGTTCTCAATTAACCATTGATCAAAATAAAGCCTGCATCAAACTCGGGAAACTCAGCAAAAATATTTCTGCGGGTGAATTAATAGAATCCAAGACGTCAAAATAAAACAATGATTCGTCCGGTGGTCACATACGGAAGCTAGACATGGAATATCTCAGCAAAACATGAGAGGGCTCTTGGAGTATGGGAGCGTAAGATCCTTAGGAGGATTTACGGGCCAGTATACTAAGAAGGCATTTGGAGGTCCCGATACAATCGGGAGTTGCGACAACTCTACAGGGACGCAGATCTCGTTAGTGCCATTAAGGCAGGACGAATAATATGGTTAGGACATGTGAAAAGGATGGCAGCGGACCGAGTACCAAGGAAATTATTATATGGGCGACCTGGAGGAGCAAGAAGGGGAGGAAGGAAACCACTCCGTTGGCTGGAGGATGTTAAGGCGGATTTGAGTCAGCTTGGTGTCAGGCGGTGGAGGGCTGTAGCATTGGACCGAGACGAGTGGCGACGTATTGTACAGAAGGCCAAGGTCCCACGCGGACTATAGCGCCGAGGAGTAAGTAAGTAAGACGCCAAAAAGTCGCAAATCTCATAAACGACCATTTAATTAAAATGAAACCACTCTGCAAACTCAATCCAACTGTTTTTGACGTTAGAATATTGGTTGAATTTAAATCTCAGAATTAACTATTAGAAAAAAGCTGAGTTAGTCAAATTTGAGACCGAGAAATGCTGCAAAACGGCAGACAAGGATTAAGATTCGCAAGACAACGCCAATCTTGGATTGATGATGTGTAGAAAAATAAAGAAGCAAGAATGCTCCTAATTATTTTTATTATTATTAATTTGCTCTACAGTCCTTAATGGACCTGGGCGTCAGAATCAAGCTTCCGCCAGGCTTCCCTATCGGCAGCTATTCTTCTCCATCTTCTGATACCCATGCGGCTGAGCTCCTCCTCCACGTCGTTGATCCACCGCAGCCGGGGTCTTCCCCTAAAACGTGCTCCTCCTGGGCGGTTATAGAGAACCTTTCTAGGCAACCTATTCTCCTCCATTCTCTCTAGATCTCCTAGCCATCTGAGCCGGCTCCTTTTGACCGTGGCTACAATATCATAATTTTTAAACAGCTCATAGAGCTCGTCATTTTTCCATATTCGCCACTGATCATTTATTTTCTTCGGACCGTATATTTTCCTTAGGCCTTTTCTCTCCCATATTATCAGCAACCTCTCACTTTTCTGTGTCAGAATCCACGTGCCCAATGCTCCTTAACAATCCAGATATTCGTGAAAGCGCTAAGAGAAGACCTGGAGAACGGTAAAAGAATTGTATCATTTGAAGTGAGTTTTTTTATGTTCTGGGGTTGCGTTTCTCGGTAGTACCGAATGTGTATCGATAGGAGTCTCAAATTCTATAAAGTATAAAGGAATGGCCTTAAAAGATTATGTAGTGCCTTAAATGCTTATGATCGGTACTTATGCAGGATACTGCTCAGTGCCATAAGGCTTTCTATGTTTCTGAATTCCTTAAGACATCAAGTATCCGTTGCACAGAGTGAACAGCAAGAAGTTCGGACCATAATCCAATCTAAAAGAAAAGGTTCGGTCGTCATTTTCTACTCTTACCACGCTTGAAATGAAAGACGGTAGTATTGGAGATATGGGATATCCTCCAAAATAAAAAAAAAATATGTGTATTGTAAAAAGGATGGAAGCATGAATGAATTCTAGAGAAGGCAATCCTTCTTACTAAATGTCATTATAAACCCTTAAAATATATTTTATGTTAAAAAAGAAAGACAATTAATTATTGTTGTGTTTTATTCTTCTAAACAAACTTAATATAACATAAATTAAACTTATAAAGTTTTATGAAACATATTCTCTATTTTAATTTTTTTTTTATTTTAATAATTAGCCTTTTATTAAATGAAAAAAACCTACTATTGTGGTGAAATAGAAAAAAAAAATCAGGTTTTGCGATTTTTTGATGAGGAAGTTATATAGGTCACCTTAAATGTATGACAACGCTATGTGATAAACGAGAAGTCACAGATAAGATATAGGAGATACGTTTTTTGTTTTTTAAAAGAAGAATTATTCTCGAGTTGCTCAAGCGATAGATAAAAATAAAGAATTAATCTAAAAATAAATTACTAAAAGAATAATTCCTTACTACACATCGTCGATATTAGCTGTGAAATCGACAGCGTTTAGTCTTTCATTAGTTATACCAATTGCAGACATACCGAAATCTGCTCTCGTCAATATTAAATCCCTTATTTCTCCATTAAATGTACCATTTTCTGATCTATATCCATACGTCTCACTTACCAATATGTCAAGTCTGAAAAGTAAAATTAATAAATAAATTAATACCATAGCAAACCCTACACAAACAGAAATAATGTAATTATCTAGAATGGCGCTAGACGTTAAAATACTGCCTCTTCAGTGTTAATTATATTTTACTATTTTAAGTAATAAAATAGTATATTTTTTTTTATTTTTTGTTGATCAGATAGATTTTTTTGAATAGTTACAACACAATCTGTCACAATCAAGGGTATTTGGTATTATGGCTCTATGCTTCCATTCATTTTTATGTACAAATAAAAATATCAAGCTAAGGAGAAAATAAAATATAAATTAAAAATATATACATTAAAAGAAATTAGTATATATTTTGGAGTTCTGGCAATGGCCGAATTCTCATCTCAAGACATGAGTGTATGTGGCTGAAGCGCTCTCGCTCAATCTCCACTGGCTTTAGCACCAGTGATGCGGTTGAGTGAGTAGGGCAGGGATCTTCTGGAGTCCTGCTTTTCCCTCTATAGTTGGAGAGACAACCCTGGCTTGGGGTTCCCTGCCTGATTGTATATATTATACATAGGTATGACTGAGTTTACTAATCTTTAGTTCATTTTATTCTTCATAGTTTGATTATTATTTAGTTATTATTTTACTTTTGTTAATTTTATGTTTTATGTATATATGGTGTGAATGTGATGTGTTTATATCTCGCTATAATTATTGTCCACGTGACAGATTATTATATTTCTAAATAAATAAATAAAAATAAAAACAAAAACAAAAATGCAAATTAAAAAAGAAATTAAAATATTAATAACAGATATTTAATCTTAAATGTGGTAAAATATTTAACTGAAAAATGCTACTCACGTGAAGTTGAATATCTTAGATAAATACATGAAAAATGCATAGTACATTCGGTTGATTTTTTCATCTTGTGGGTAATAATACTTGTCTAGGATGAGATGGCTTGTTTCATTGTTTACCTTAAACGTAGTGAACTAAAACAAAATTGTCTACGATTTAATTTTAAAAATTATAAATTTCAGAAACAATCATTCATTAGAATTTGTTAATTTAATAATTTTCAATTCATAATCCGGTGGTTCCAAACGAGAGTTCGGCGCATTCCTACAGACATTTGAGGAGTTTTCAAATTTTCAATAGAATATAATTTTCCCATTTTAATTTTTCATTGAATGTGATACTTGATTCTCGTCAGTTTAATTTAAAAATAATATCTCGATGGGTTAGTTTAAAATGAAGCTTTAGCAGAAAAAAAAATTATTAAAACAGATATATTTGTATTTCGCATTAGATACTTAATGAATTTTGAAAGGTTACTGATAATAATGAATGATAGAACTTTAATTTTAAGTCGAAGTATAACAAACAATGAGACATAAAGATTATTTTGTGCATTACTAAAATTTGAATATTATGTAAATAATGATATTAACGATTATTAATATATTCTATTTTGAATAATGTTATAAATTTAATATACTTATTTATATCGAACTATTATCGCGTAATAATGAAATTATAAATCTGATGAGGAGTAACCTTTAGCATTATACCGACGAATGAGAAAACGAATAAATATTTGGGAGATAAAACTGTTTAATATTTATAAATTTAAAAATAATTGCTTATTTTTTTTTTAAGTAGAAAAACAAGTATTTACCACAAATGCTCCACGCAAAGCATTCTGTTCTAAATTATATCGATTACGTTTGGACCGGAAACGGAATTCTTCCAGCAGTCTCACTTGCAGTTCTGTTGTTGAGGTTAACTTGTAAACATCGTACATTGTTCCATTATCCTCAGCTAGAACGATATCGCTTGAAAATCCAACATACATTTTTTTCAGAGTGACTAAAATCTCATCCAGTTCACCTCGTAAAAGCCAAGAAAATCCTTCTCCTAACATACTCTGAGGAATCTGTTGAAAATAATTTCGGTAAAATACATCTTAATGAGAAATGAAATCAACGTATAGTAGAGTAGTTGTGAGAGGCTTTTTTTTTTTTTTTTTTTTTTTTTTGCATGTAGTGAATTTATTGCTAAATGTATTTAATATTGGAAAATACGTAGTACACATTGTAATAAAATTATTATTTTTTTATAATCTTAAAAAGTGGATTAAATTTAGACTAGTAGGCCCGTGCGAAAATTCGCACAGTATATTGTTGATCAAATTATAAATTAATAAAACAATGCAACGTATCATAAAAGAAATCAATTGTTACTTTCTCGCTAAACATAATTGACAAAGCAAACAAAAATTAATTTAAAACTTCATTAATGTTCGGAACCAACATGTTTACAAATTTCAATAAGCTGTATCTTTGATAAAAAATTGTCCGATTTCGATGATTTTTTTTTCCTTTTGTAGGAAATTTAGTAATATTTTATATAATGAAGGGAAAAGTGTGTAATTTTCGATGTATTCACAAATAAAGTTTCTTTTCTTTCATTACTTTTTTGCCTGAATTTTCGGAGTGATCAAACTATTTTGCCCGTCTGAAGGAGAACGAAATTTCAAAATTGGTAGCACAATCTTGGGATTTGGTGAAGAATTAACGATGATGTTACTTACCGACAAAAATATCTTTGATAAACAATATAAACTCCTCCTCTCTCGAACAAAGGAGCCTCAAGTCGACGAAATGAGATGAACTCAGTGACAGTACTGCATACAATTCGCGAAAGGTTGTGTGGATGCGAACGTTGTCTTGCATTATCTCGAAAATAGTACGTTTTGGGGCTTAAGAACACAGGGTTCGATGTAACTATCCGGTTTCTACTGTACGCATCAAAATCTTCAAAGCCCAATTTGTCCCGTATCGATCCATAGACGGACCACCGTTCCAGTATTGAAGCCTAGGAAAATGTTTGTATCGAGTTTATTTATTTTAGAAAGAAAAACAAAAGCGAAGAGTACGATTCGCTAACCCCCTGTGAAATTCTGATTTAAACGGTACCCCATTCATGGTATGTGGGAATGATTTTAGTCAATTCGGTATAAAAGTAACTATTATTTCAGTTTTTAAAAAAATTTAAGTTGACTCCTCTTCTATCACCTCTTATCAATAAAATTAATTAGTATGAAAATAAGGATACATTTGATTTTTCAATTATTATCTAATTGTAAATTAATTAGAGCGAAAAGAAAAAGAATATGGATCTCAAGTTCATACTTGGAGAACTGATTTAGAAAAAGTACGAGAGAGTATTACTGGGAAAGCATGAACAAAAAAAGGTAAAGAAGTGTACAGAAAAAAATGTTGGTTAAAAGGAAGGATGGCACTCCTGTCGTTAACCATACATTACAATCGAAAATCTTAAAGCACTATAACAATTTGCTTTTCACCATCTTGATATTAAATAACAGGAAAATAAAAAAATATAGAAATAAGGCAATAAACAATCAGCAGGTTTCATTGTTTTAAACGTAAATTTTAGTAATAGCAACATTTATTTTGTCACTGATAAACACGGATCAATTCCCATTACAGAGATCCGGAAGAAAAACACAGTTTTATAACCACTTTACATGAATAATATTTGAAAAATCATTATTTTTTACTTTTTCATTTTTATGAATAAAAAGTGTATTTCTTGAAAAAAATGAGAAATGAGAGGTTTGAAACAGTTAATTGTAGTCAATTTTGCTGAAAACACGGGTACTTTTAGGTGACGGGATAGGAACACTTTTTTTGTATGTACAACTTGATGTGAATCTCAATTTTTTGCCTAATACATCACAACTTAATTAATGTGGACTTGAAGCTTCTTGAATTAGGAATCTTGCGTTAAAAGTGTGGTATCTTCAGTATAGTTGGATGATGATAAAAATAAAGCGCGAATAATTAATAATTTTTTTTAAAAACGGAACTTAGCTTAGTTTATCCGCTCAAAAAAAAACTTTTTAAATAGTTTAAACGAAGGCAAACTCTATTATTATCTGAAGTAAATTTAGTCTAGTTAAAGGGAAGCAATTTTTAATTAGTTAAATAAAATATTTTTTTAGTTATTGCTTCCAATAATTAGAGAATGTTTAGTGTAAATATTCAGATTTTTTAAATTAATTGTTGTTTTTAAGTAATTCACTTTAAATTAAAATAATAATAATAAAAGTGGCTGTTGTTTAGTTTTATTTCAAGATAAAGGCGTCTCAGGCCACTGGATCCGATAGTTTCACACATCAAAATTCTAAAAAAAATTGCTCTAATAGAGATAGTGCATTATAATTACTTTAAGCAGTTTATGTTGAACTGTCTTACGTATGTAACTGAGTTATGTATGGACTCTTCTATATTATATATCATTATTTTTTATCATCTAAATTCGATAAATTATTTCATTTTTATAATGATGAGATGTACTATGTGTGTTTTTATGGGTGCATTGTTATGATTTTCCAATAGTATCGTAATAGATAGTTATTGTGAAATATGTGTAAACAAATTTTATGTGTAAAGATAATTTATTACATGTCTAAGCAGATTTCTGTTGTAATTACAAGACGTATCAATAAACCATCCGGAGTTTGCCTTCTTTATTGAATCCCATTGTATTCTTCTCTTGTAGAATATTGCTGATAAAAAAACAGAAAATGTTTCAGTTTTTCTCAGATGAAGGCTATCTAAAATCGAAAGAAAATAATATTAAAATATTTTTAATAAACAGTGACCAGATTTTCGACTTATTAATATCAACAATAAAATTTCTGCAAGATTGTATAATAGACCAAATATAGCCCACTGTACCAGTAGCGGATCCAAAATTTCTTTTTTTGGAGGTGAGGGGGCGGGGGGATTTCTTTTGTAGGGAACTTCAGCCCGGTAGTTTTTCTTATAGAGAATTTCTTCTAAAATGTAAAAATGAGACTACCTATATGAAATTATTCTTGAAGCCTTATTAAAATATATATAATTACAGGAACAACAATATTTAATTTTAAAAAATCGACTTTCAGCATATTTAAACATGCAGTCCTACATGTACATGAAATGTTTCATAAGATACATCTTCAGGATCCTCAGGCATTCGCATGTATCATTCTGGTACACCGAGTTGAAGTGGCTTTATCCTTCTTCCCGACGACAATTCCTCCTTGTTTTTCCTTTTCCAAGTTCTCAGAACCAAAAACCCTCCCTACATCCTGAAACTCCTTACTCTACGCTCCTCTATCCACTCTCTTAATACTAGGTTTCATCCTATTGATTTATATATCCCTTCCCATAAAACTACTTCCTTCAGCAAATCCTTCGTCATTCGTGCAACCTCCTTTTGGAACTCTCTTCCTACCTCCATACGTCAATCCTCGTCCACAAATTCCTTCAAACAACTCCTGTTCCACCACTTACTTCACATTCAAACTTCCGCTAATATGTAAAATTACTTAATGATGTAGAGATGGTTGACCGTTGATATAATATGTGAAGGAGTTGATCGGGGGGGGGGGGAGGGGGGTAGGGGTGCGGTCAAATTAATAAATTAAACGACTAGAATTATTTAACTTTTGCCGACGTTTCGACTCACTTTGCAGGTCTTCATCAGGGCGTAGGATGTAGCACTGCGGGAGGCAGTTGAAACACTGCTCAGTGTTTCAATCCTGATGAAGACCTGCAAAGTGGGTCGAAACGTCTACAAAAATTGCATAATTCTACTTGTTTAATTTAATACTTTGACCGCACCCCCAATCAACTCCTCATGTAAAATTACTTGTATTTGTATACAGTGTAATGGCAACTACTGCACAACTGCAATAACAATAAGCAGTTAATTAGTTTGTATTTTTTTCGTATTTTAAGCCACACTATTACCCATACATTTGTAACAATGTTATTGTTCTTAGGTATTAGGTTGTTATTGTTACAGAATAAAATTATTTTTTCATTTCGTTTCATTACATAACAAGAAATATTACTTTAATTAATTATTCTTATTAATTCTACCAATCTTATTAATTATCATTTTTATATTACCTGTTTCATTACAAACAAATACATGCAAAACAAATATATTTCTGGATAGAAAATAAGCCATCATTCCTTCAGAGAGCGCCGATGTATCAATCATGGATAAGGCAAAACCAAAACAGAGATAGGGAAACACAATCAATAGGTTATTTCTCATCGTTACGTTAGAAACTGATGGATAAATTGAACGGCATTTCCTTTTGCTTCCCCTACCTTTTCATCCATTCTCCTTGATTAGGAATGCAAATTACTTCCTTCATTGCAATTACCTAAACCACTGAAAATGGAGGCAACAAAACTAATCCAAGGGATAAATAATTTGACGTGTGTTCTTCATGACTGTTGTAAGGTTTTACATGATCGATCGTTGAGATATTTCAATATGGAAGCCTATGTCACAAGAAATATCACTTTTACTATTTATTCTTAGTTTTTTAAAAAATATGAGTAAATTAAAATTAATTAAAGTCGAACCCGTAATGCCAAAAATTTTATAAATTATGATTATAATTTACATGATATATCGTTGACATATGTCAATATGCAAGCCTACGTCACAAGAAATATTACTTGCACTATTTATTCTTAGTTAAAAAAAAAAAAATTATGAGTATATTAAAATTAATTAAAACCGAACCCGTTGATGCCAAACATTTTATAAATTATTCAAATAAATAAGTTCTTCCGTTTTTTTTTTTTTATTTTTATATCACTATGATACACTTCTTATTTAATGAATTAATCCTTAAGGTGGATTGTTTATTCTGTTTGTAATATGTCAACCAACTATATCTGTCAACTCTCGTTAAAACTAGCATAGTATTGTGTTTGCTATTGCACTTTTAATATCGAAGAAAATACCATTCATTATCGGCATATATTGTTATATTATTTTAAAAAAGGTAAGCGTGCTGCAGTAGCTCATAGAAAAAATTGTAGTGTT